TGTTATTTTATTCGTTCATTCATTGATTTTATTCCTCTTACCTGCACCTAGGTTCAAGGAATTCGTACTGAATTCACAGTGGAAGTGTACGAGTGTCATGCACGGATAGCTCTAGAAAAGGTGAATCTGTTGTTCCTCAGTAATTACAGACTACTTAAAAGTAATAAAGTGTTTTTGTTTTAAACTGGTTGAATGCTTATCTGTTTGTTTATTTATTTTAGGGAGACCATGAAGAGTTCAACCAGTGCCAGACCCAGCTGAAGGCCCTGTATAAGGACAATCCCTCAGAGAACATTGGAGAATTTACAGCATATAGATTGCTGTATTACATCTTTACTAAAAACTCTGGAGGTATGCTCAGGTCTTTTTGGAAGTCTTCACCACTGCACTGAACATTGTGGGATTTTTTTTTGTTGTTGTTTTGTTTTAACTATATTTATAAGTTTCTCTGTCTCAGTTTCTGACACTGGCCATTTATTCATCTTCCCCCTGCAGATCTAACCACTGAGTTGGTGTATTTGACCCCAGCACTACGGGCAGATGATTGTGTGGCTCATGCCCTCTCACTTCGTGCAGCTTGGGCATTAGGAAACTATCACCGGTTCTTTAAGCTCTACCTGGAAGCCCCGCGTATGGCTTCATATCTCATTGACAAGTTTGTAGAGCGTGAAAGAAAGGCAGCACTTAGGGCCATGGTCAAAACGTAAGTTATGCTCCAGTAACATGCTAATTGTAAATTTTAGCTGCTTCATTGCTGACCAGTTTCCTGACCCGTTTGCCTATTTTCTCTGTCCACAGGTTCAGACCCGACTTGCCAGTGCAGTATGTGCAGTCCACCTTAGCCTTCTCTTGTTTAGACTCCTGTATGGCCTTTTTAACCGGGCTAGGAGTCACATTCACGCCTTCTGATCCCCAAAAAATAGACTGCAAAACCAGCACAGCCTCTTTGGCTGCCTCCTGAGAGGGGTGGAAGGGTAGCACAGTGAAAGGAGTGGCTAAGGGACCATCATGGATCCTTACATATTCAATGCACTGCACTTCAGATACCACAGCGAGTTCAGATAAGAGCAGTGGCAGACTAACACCCATATAGAAAGATGCTGGCTAGTGTATTACTCTGTCAGGCCAAAAAATGCAGATCTGTTTTTCTGACACTAAGAACTGTTCTGAAAATGTACAGAACTGCACATACTGTCACTCACATATTCTAAGTTTAGCCCATCTCATTACATTTATGATGCCACATAAGTAAGGGAACAGATTAGACCTGAGATCAAGTAGTCTTAGTGACTGAGAAGTCACAGAACCAGATCACGGTTCCTGTTCCGTTACCACCTTCAGATTTCAACGCTAACAGTGTTGTTATGTCTTTTCCTTCCCAAGTCAGCAGCTCAAAGACCAGAAGATTCAACTTTTACCAAAAGGGAAACGGCTTTTCAAGTCATGCATCCAGCTCTTCACTGTCTGAAGTCAGACCTGCAAAATCAAGTCAAGTCTAGCTTTATTCTTACAGACTCAGAGATGCCAGCAATTTACCTGAAAGAAGAGGTGGTTTGTATGCCCTTCCCGCATCTAGTTTCCTCCTCAAATCTACAGCTGGCTGTTCCTCCCATTTGTCTCTACAAGGTCTGTGAAAGAAACTGAAGTCTAAAGTCCCGTTCCTGATTTAGTATTATTCATCCACTGCTCATGTTTATGAATTGGTCGATCAGCACTTAAACAAGTCTCGGATACGCATTGACTTTGTAACGGATAAGTGTTCCTCATCAAGATCAAGTTCCATGACCTGGAAGCTGAGCTTCATGTTCCAGAGTAGCCCCAGGCAGAGTGCAGTTCTGCTTCCATCACCCTCAGGTAGAAGTTCCTACCAGCACCTGGTGTCCAGCTCACCCTGTCAAATGCAGCAGTGCACCTCTGTATCCTCACCAGCTGTTCCTCAGAAAATAATGGTGACGTCACAGCTGACACCTTGGATGTAGCTGAAAGTTAGTTGGGTTTTTTTTTTTTTTTTTGAGGTGGAGCATCAAAGGAAGACCTGCAGCTTCTTCAGGAAGGCTTAAAAAGTGGTTTGTATACTACACGCAAGGCTGGTAAGAGAAAGGGACTCTTCTGGAAGGAGGTGGATGACCGCACAACAGAGATGTTGCCTCAAGTTTTTGTTTGTTTTTTTGTTTTTTCCCAACTTGTTTTACATCTTGTGGGTTTATCACTTATCAGTATTTGGCATTCTCTTGTGCAAAAGGAAAAAAAATTATGGCGGTGGAATCAGAATTTTATTTTTTAAATTATATACTTCGTAATGATTTTTGGACAGTCCACGTGTCATTAAAAAATTAAACAATATCCTAAAATCCCAGAATTTTTACTACACAGATGGAAGCTGCTGTCTCTGAGTATTGCAATCAAAACATGAATTTAAAGTGGTACAGACAGCAGTGAAATAAAGAAGTAGTTTGAGTCCAGACAAGTGCTTTTATGTCCATTTTTTTTCCCCAGAAGATATGAAATTTTTAACAAAAGGTTTGAAATGGGAGCCTCAGTTTAGTATTTAAAAAAACAAAACAAGATAAAAACAAGCTCTCTAAGTGGCCGTGGAGTTGATTCTCTGTACTTTGTGCTTTTTAGGACCCAGTTTAGTAATATTGATGGTATATTAACAACCCTTTAGACAATGAGTGGGGAAATTCAGTTACGCTGAAAATGGCGATTGATCAGCTCCTAAGTGTGAGGAAAATAATCCATGTGTTGCTTTTCACCAGCAAAGCATCTGGTCCTAATTGAGTTGTGCTGAAAACGTGTAGGTGGTCAACATTGTTCCTCCTTTTTTTTTTTTTTTTTCCTTTTCTTTTTTTTTTCTTCTAAATTAATATCAGTATTAACCGCTGTAGGAACATTGAGTCTGACATTGAGTATTTAATCCTGTTTTGATTGATAAGAACAGGAATGGATTCAGGCTTAATGTAAAACCTCCACGTTTACTTATTAACAGAGTATACTTTGTAAATACTGTATGATAATTGATGTGATTTCTTTTTAGTACACCGTGTAGGTTTTTTGTTTTTGTTTTTTGTTCACACATGGGTAAGTGTGAATGTTTTTTGTTTGTTTTTTCTTTGTTCATACAACTATTGAACAAATTTGTGAATATGTTAAAAAAAAAGTAGAATTTGATTGTATGCAGTGATCTCAGTGTGGCTATATCGGAGAAATGTCAGTTAGCGCTGTTTCCGAGTGCAGCCTGAACACAGTTGCACAGGTTGTCAAATCCAATTTTGGCTCGATGCTCAGACTCCATTGGTCCAAAAAAGAAGGAAAAATAAGTTGTTGAAATTTTTCCCTTTAGGTTTTGTGCCACATTTTCCTGTTTTGTGCTCTCTGATTGGTTCCTGCTGGTTTCGTATATATTCAGTGACAAATCAGACCAATGTGGCTAAAACCTTGCCTCCTGACCAATCATGTCGATGAATCACGTGTGACCCTGGATCATATATATATTTTAGATGTGTTCGTTGTTGACCTTTGATTTCAGCATATGTTTTGTAATGACAAAGATCTCAACATGTTTCCTTTCTTTCCCCCCTCCCCCCCTCCCTTCATTTACCTTACTCCCCTATCCTCCTTACTGCCCCCCCTCCCCTCACTCCTTAAACCCTCCTCCCACATGCCGCCAGACTTCTCGTCCTTCAGCTTGCAAGGCTGCTGCATTGCAGGAGCACACGGAGGGATAAGTGGGCGAAACTCCTCCAGATGCCTGCCGGAGAGAGTGAATTGTGAGCACTGTCTCGGTTTGACCCGCCTGAGTTGAAGCCATACAGCTCATAAAACACAGGGGAGCATCGCATAATGAAAAGTTGAAAATGTTGAAATGCTGCTAATGGGATTTGCTGCTAGCCCTTATTTAAAATGGTTTTGTGTGCAACATCGTACCTGTTCTAGTTTTTAAAAACAAAGCTCTCGAGTCGTGTTTTCCCTGTGCTGTGGGGTTCTGCGTGTCCAGATGCATTTGCATAGTTGTTTGCTGATAAGACTTTTCATATTTAGTTAGGTTGGATTTTTTTTCTCTCCACTGATTAGAAATGTTTTAGCTTTTGTTTGTTATACTGGCAGGCTGCTTGAGAGTTGAATTGGCATTGAATAAAATATGTCTGGACATGCAGAACATAGTGACCTAAAACTCACCAACACCTTTTTCTTTTTTTTTCAAGTATAAAGTTTATAGGTTTGTGTTCACATGCTAAGCAGTGACTCTTCTGAAATGATGTAAGAATTTTTTTTTTTTTTTAAATTTAATGCAGGCTTGTATTCTATACATCTGATGTCTCAGATTTTCAGCACTGAAACAGCCCAGGATGTTTGTCTTTACATAGAAAAATCATCCAGATAACTAATGTACACATTTTCATTTAATACCCCACCCCTCCCAATTTTTGTGTATTTTGCTCCTATGTTGGTGTATACCTCCATCAGTCTTTGTAACTGCTTTTTTGACCCTTGAAGAACTCCCATCTCCCTCTTTCCCTCCACCTTTGTTCATTTCTTTTTCTTTTTTTTTCTTTTTTTAACTAGTTTTTTGTAGAATCTTCTCACTTTCTCTTCTTCACTCCTCCCTGCATGATGTTTCAACCTCTCTCCTCTCCCCTGACTCTCTAACCAGTATTTCTCTTTTGTCATTCTTACCCTTTTTTTTTTCCTCTTATGTTGGGTATGTTTGTGACTGCCGTGTGCAACTCTCACTAGTAAGTATTGTATCCTGTCTGCAGTGCTTTTAATAGTTTGTGTTGCAGCACTTTAACAACTGAAGCTGAAGGTCTATCTGTAATGCGCCCTCCCTATCCCTCATTCCCATGGCTACATAGATCTGATAGGATAAACTGCCATTTTGTAAATATTGTGTACATATCTTTTGGAAAGACGTCTAATAAAAAAAAAGTACAGAGCACATACTGTCTTTTGTTTTTGCTGGAGTTGATTGAAATCTAGCAGTTCAGTGGAGCACAGAGTTGCTTGCAAACAGTTTATTATGAAGATGTTGAATGATGGCATCTGTGATAAAGCAGATCAGCTAGCAGACGAAGCACGATGGTTTAATGTTCATTCATATGGTGATAGTTTTTACTTTAACCAACACAGATTAAAAATCCTTGAGAGCAGCTGGAAAAAAGTTAGTGTGGAAGGTTAAAGATGTAGAAAGTGCAGCAGGAAAAAAAATCATTTTGTCATGCAAACAGCAAAAGGCATATAATGGCAAAGGACAGTTCAGTTTAAAAATAGCAAGAAAGCTGGCAAACGAAAAAGACTAAACGCTAAAAGAAATGCTACTAAGAAGAAAAAAGGCAGAAGCAGAGCAGCGAAACGGTACAGAAGAAATTCACACGAGGAAACAAACGTGGAGTAAAGAAGTTGTTGCATAAAACACTTATAAGACTTAATAAGAAAAGATTAAAATGCATTGCTGATCTATCACATGAGGTGAAACTTACAAAGGAAATGAAACAAAGGCCAATAATCTGGAAGTTTAGAATGTGCAGAAAATAGAAAACAGGCCCAGGATGGTTTTCATACATGTAGAGCATGAATACTGGCACTGAGTGTTAGAAGGAGGAGGGAAAAATATGAGAATGATGCAACTAAACAGTAAGCAGTGAAATCACACAAAGAAAATAAAAGAAGGGTTTGTTTGGGTTTTTTTTTTCTATAGCCTTGTCAATGTAATGTTGCGTTGCCACAGAAGAAAAACCAGAAACCCAGGGAGTGAGGAGAAGCAGAATAAAGAACAGAAGAGATAGAGGAGAAAAAAGTCTGATTTATTCAGAGGTAAACATCAAACAAAGCAGAATAGAGTAAAACAAAGCCAAGAAGAACTAACTGATACAAGAAAAGAAGTCATTTAGCAGTAATGAAGGAGAAAAGAGGGAGAAAATACAGGACAGTGACCCTCCGGTCATCAAAGCTCAAGCAAGGTAGCAAGGAGTGAAGCCAGAAAACAGAAACTACACTGTGTTAGTATTTATGAACAGAAAGGTAGGAAAGGACTCAAGAAACTGCAAACAAGGATTAAATGTAACGGCTGTATGAAAAGCTAAACATGTAGATTTAGAGGTAGATTGTTAGAAATAAAAATAAGTCCAGCTGATAAACATTATTTCTGTGCTTTTAGTTGCAATATCAGTGTCGCAGCCAAATCGCTCTCTTGATGTTGAAACTCACAGACATTCCCACACGCGCACACACACACACACACACACACACACACACTCAGTAGATAAATGCCAACAAAAATAAATCATTTAAAATTGTACAAAATGTTTTTTGCACAGTTTGACCCCTGAAAAAAAATCCCAAATTATTAAACACAAGAATCTCACAGTATTTTTTTAACCACTTATCCAAAAAAAAAAAAAAGCAAAGCATTAAAAGGTTTCAAGCGACAGCGTCTCCTATGTATTCTCCAGCAGAGCGGATGGTAAGTGGGTCCTACAGTATTTTAACCTTCAGTCTGTTTAGTCTCCCGAAGAGAGGTTGTGATGGAGACAGGAGGTGACACCACGTGTGCCACATTTCCGAGGTTGTTTTTAAGGATTATTGTAATCTGCCCTGCAGTGTCCCAAAGTTCAACAGAGATGCCCGACGACCCCGCCCTTCACCGGGCCTCAGTAGGGGGTGAAGCGGTTGTATCCTCCTCTGTACAAACTGGCCTGTTGACAGTAGTAGGGTGAAAGGTGCAAGTTAACCACCGTGATGTATTTCTCAGATTAAGCTTTGTTTACTCTGATAGCTGCTCACCATTGTACCGACCCCATACGTTGTTGGTCCGACTGAGTGGTGATAGGCCTCTGGAGCGTAAACCCGTCCATATCTGTTTAAAAAAATAATAATATCACGACTCCAATTAAACTTTGTTTCTTATTAATTTATCTGCAAATGAAATTCTGCAAATTCTTTATGATTAATGAAAGCCAACTGAAGTCAGGCATATATGTGAATTTTTTTACATTATGTGAATATTCTGCCATGATTAATGTGAGCATCCAGCACTGTAATAAGTTATGTGATGGAAACCAATCAAAAGCACATTTGGTACTGAATAATATCTGAAGTATCTTACAAAAACAGTACTTTGGGTGTTATTATGATATTGTTATCCTTGGAAGAGCCACACATCCCTTTGAGGTTGTGTTTGGAAGGCCATCCGGCATAAAAATCTGCCAAAACAAACATGTGGATCTGCCCACTGTGACGACCCCTTGTGACTAAGGGAGCAGTTGAAAGCTTCTTCTTCTACTAGCAGTTTGTGTGCTATTGGTTAATTTAAAGCTGCTTAACAAGGCCCATAAAATCCTTGAGATAAAAACAAGAACGTAATCTCAGGTGGGATCTTTGAGCTACACAGGAACAAAAAAATGAGGTTTTTTATTTTACATACTGTGTCCACTCACAGTAAATGTTACAAGATAAATTCCTGACTGTTTGAGAAAATCCAGATCTTTACTTCCTGGCACAAGGCAGAATATTTTCAAAAGCTGTGTTTATCTTGATAAAAGTTACAAAAGCCAAGTTTGAGTTCAAAGAGTGAGCTCTGTGTAGGTAGGAAGACATTTTCATGGGAATAGCCGAAATGCTCCAAATAGGTTTTGTGTTTCTGCTCAGGTAAAAGCGGTATATACTATTAGGCACACAGCTGCTCAGTGGTACTGCTGAAGCTCAAACACAGCATCAGAATGAGCAAGAACATTCATCTTTGTGTACATTGTTTGTCTGTTTACCCATCACTGTAGGTCGCTGTGGCAGCAGATGCTGACTGAGCCACTCTGTATGCTGCAGGGTATCCGCCCTGCATGGGAAAGATGAAGCAACAATAAAGCAGCAGCAACTGATTGACTGATTAAAAAAGTAAAGATATGAGTAGAGTTCAGCTGCGTACATAGACTTCTGCTCCATACAGTCCATCCTGATACACAACCCTGAAAAAAAAAGAATAAAACATTATCAAAATGAAAGTAATTGGATATAAAGCCGACACCGGTGCTCAGAGTCTTACCCAGGGTAGGTGGGGACAGCAGCAGGTGTGGTTGCAGTGGAGCGAATTGTGTTGTAGACAGCTCGACCCCGACCACGCAGCGCTGAACCGCGGTAGGCCAGCGTAGGAGTCGCTACAGGGTACGGAAAACTGGCAACTAAAATAGAGGAGAGGAAAAAAAGTAGCAGGAGGAGTGAAATGGCAGTGCTGATCATCTCTTCAGAGCAATATGTCAGCATGAAAGAGGGAAACCTTTAGTTACCTGTATAGAGCTCAGGTGCGTACATGGCCCCCATGACTGGGTTGATCTTCCAACCGGAAGCTGCAAAAACAAGGCCTCTATTAAAAACAAGCTCCAAAGATTAGTCAGGACCCAAATATTAATGAGAAGTTTCTTACTTGAGATTTCACCGTTCACGAGAGGCGCTTGGGGTTTCTTGGTAACTACTCGTGCAGTGGCATTATTAACCTGGGGATAAAATAATAAGGATAATCATGGAATCAGAAAGTTAAACCTACAACACAAAAGCTGCGTGATTTCCAGCCATGTGATCAATAAATATCACTTAGGTATAATGTCCAAGGGAAGTTACAGGGTCATAAATACATTTATAGTGAGGTGGCCATTTTTTTTCTCTCTCTGGGTAAAACAAAACTGCATGTTTGTTTTCTAGTTTTAAAAAAGAAATGGGGAAATCTCGCTTTACCTCGATCTTCCTCCCTTCCACAATTGTCCCGTTCAGCTTTTCTCTTGCTCTGTCAGCCTCGGTAGCATTCTCGAAAGTGACGAATCCAAAGCCCTGTGTGTTTGCACGGTTATATGTTTACTGATGAATGATTCCCACGTTGGTTTAAAAGCACTGATCATATTTCTGAGCTGCTCACCTTTGACCCCCTCTCATTGAAGATAATCTCTACATCGAGGATCTTGCCAAATTGCTGAAAGTGTCAGAGCAATTTTCACAGAGTGGAAATTGTTGGATTCAACATGAAAACATGGGCTCTGTGTATGTGTGAAGCTCAGAAACGAGGTGACTGTCATACCCCAAACATCTGGCGGAGGTCTGGGTCTCTAAAGCGAAAGGGGATGTTCGAGACATGGAGGCGTTTCGGTTGGGTTTTACCTGACCCCTCTTCCTCGCTACCGCTTCCTGCCCCGCCCCCCGATGACACGGACACACTGAGAGACTGGGGGTCAGAGGTCACGGGGACCAAAGAGTCCTCCTGACAGTGAGAAAGCACGAAACAGGACAAGGAGGCAGAGGAAGAGGAGGAGGCAAGCAAGTGGATAGAGGAAGAATGGACGGGAAGAACAAAAAAAGATGGAAAACAAAAGATGGAGAGGGTGTGAATGAGGTGGGACAGATGTGAAGAAAAATTGGGAGAGGGCATCAGTAGAAAAGCAAAGAAGGAAAAGAGAAAAACAAACAAACAACAAAGTAAATTCAACAAATTCAACATGTTCCAGAGAATTTCATGTTTAGGTAAAAACTCCAGTTGCGTAAGCATCACATGGCATTAAAGCTCAAAGATCACTTTCATGAGATCAAGTGAACCAAACCAAGTTCAACCAGCATTCAGCAACCAGTGAACCTTCTCAAGCAAATGTAAGGAGGCGTGGAAGGGGCTCCAGTTTAGTGAGGCGTCGTTGAATACATGCCTGTAGGAGATTAGGACAGTGACGCTAACAATAAACGCCAAATGTCTGGTATTAAAACTGCTCATTCCAGCCGTCGTGAAGAGTGAGAAGTTGTTTTAAGCTGTTTTCAGACTCTAACTCAAAGTTTCCCACAGTGGCTCTAACAACTACTTGTTTTACCTTAGTATTAAAGACATACCTGTGCTAGATTAACTTATATAAACTGCCCCATGCAGAAAAATTCAAGAACTAATGTGCCAAAACCAAAACATTCACTATCCCACAATGCACCACGATGCTAGTGTGTGTGCATGTATGTGCATATATATATATATGTGTGTGCAGGTGTGTTGGCCAACCAGCATTGTTCAACCATTGCAAGAAAAGTGGTTAAAAATATATAGATTTGAAAGAAAATCTGCAAAAAAGGGCAACAAACTAAAACCAGTGAGCTTCAGCAGCAAGAAACAAAAGGAAGAGGAGGAGCAGGGAGCACAAAAATTAACGCGAAAAAGAAAAATTACTGGGAGATGTGCTACTCTAATGGAAATAAGATTACACTCCCAAGCCCTGAGTATTAGCAGTCTAGTACCACGAGGCAGATAAGGAGTGAAAAAGGCTTCAGTAAACAAGGCAAAGAAGGTGCACAGAAAGGGGACAGAGTTTAAAACTGAAGGGTCAGTGGGGGACGGGTGGGGTGGGGGGTCACGGTGCTGCTTTTTTGCCAAAGGTTAAAGTCGTTCGTCAGGGGGCATCATTAATAAGAAGGAGACAGACAGAGAGAGGTACAGAAACACATTCATACAGACATATAAATGCACACAGGCTACTACTGGTGTACACTACACTGGCTTGATGTGGCTTCAACTGTAGACAGCAGACCCACACACACGCACACACACACACACACGCACATACAGGCCAGAGTGGAGGGGGGGGGGACAGAGGTACAGAGGGTTGAGTTGGGTGGTGGTGTCATTGTCACGATGCAGGATTGAGTTCTGGACCTGAGCGATATTTCAGACGGGGGAAAGGGGGGGGAATCATCCGGTCAGCCTCACCCCGCCCCCCCCTTTTTGACCCCCTCCCTCCGTGGCGACGTCTCAACTTTCCCCGAAAATCATCACGGACCCGAGTATGTCTGGGACTCTAGTGATAAAATATATAAACGGGGCCATAAAACACCATTTATGAGAGGAGGAAGGGAGAAGCAGGACACAGAGCTGACCTGCCACACAGATCAGACGGCTCTGCGTGTGTCAGAGTAGATGTTTCCATGTCTGAAGGAGACTTCTGCACTGCAAAAACAAAACAGTCACACACATCTCTGACCACATAACTCATGTCTTCATGAATAAGAAAAAAAAAATCCGCTAATCCGTTAAGAATATTTAAACCTGTTCCAAGGTGAAATCACATCTTCAAGTAACCACTTCTGCAAGGTCCCAAAAGGTTGGTTCTGTTCATCTGGATGAACCGTTTTCAGTGGGAGAAACGTTTCGTCACTCATCCAGGTGACTTCTTCAGTCTCAGCTGACTGCAGGTTTCCCCAACCTTATAAACAGTACATTTGTATAATGACTGAAACTAGCACCACTGAATAAACAGTGGGCTGTGATGTCAGTTCCTTGAGCATTAATATGCAAATTGTCATTGATCAACAACCACTGATCAAGGACGAACGATCAATGGTCATGAGTACCATTCACAGAGTTGGGGAATGGCTGCAATCACAGCCCGATGAATCAAACACTGATGCACTAAAAAAATAAAATATATTTTTTATATTTTGTCTACTAAACAATATTTTGTTTACTAAACAATCCAGTTTTTAGAAAATAGAATTTTAAGGGTAGTCAAAGGAGCTTGCAAAGAAAAGCGTCTGGACTTCTTTAAGTTGCTTGAAGACGTTTCACCTCTCATCCGAGAAGCTTCTTCAGTTCTAAGGTCAAATGGTGGAGAGTCCCAGATTTAAACCCAGTGGGAGTTTCCCCCCAAAGAGGGACAAAAGGACCCCCTGATGATCCTCTAATCACATGAGCCAAGGTGTGAAAACGGGTGTGGGTCCCAATCAGCCAGAGTTTCAGGTGAGCTCATTGTGAAACCTGGCCCCACCTTATCATGCGATTTCCTGAGGTCAGATGGCCCAGGGTGTGAGTGGGCGCTAAGGCTTCTGGGGAGGGAACTCAAAACTGGATTATAGATGGTGTCGTAAACCATCGCCCCTGTTCAAAGATGGTCGCTTACAGTGGACATAGATGGCTTCTAATTTTAAGGGTAATATTTATTTCAGGCTTTACATGGTTAAGATAAGTTTTTTCAAAATAAAATAATAAATACGTTTTTTTCAATTACAGACCTGGGAAGTGACAATAGGTCTCTGCAGGCAGTGTGAGTCAAAATATTACATTATTTAAAAAAGACAAACTTTCTCTCGTGTGTGTTGCTGTTTTTTTAATCAATTCAGTGAGAGTGGCATGGTAAATTTTGCTTTTAAACTGTAAAGCCTGGTTCTGCTGGCTGTCTCTTCCTGCTAAAAAGGTTTTTTCCCTCTCATATTGCAGGGTTTTTAGCTTACAGTATTAAGGCCCTTGAGGCAACTGTTATTGTGAATTTGTTATTGTAAATGAGCTTGAAATTGAATTCAAATTGCTAATTAGGAATAATGCAAGTAGCCTACAGCTTACTGGTGGTCATTATTCTGCAAGTAGGCTAACAAAAAAATCACTTTGATTTTAACCTGATGGCAGCACAAGATGGAAATTCTAGAGAGTCCCTCAAGTTCTGAACTGTGTAATTGTATAATATAGTATATTACAATTTCCATAAGATTCCAGCAGATTAGTAGCCTGTTGTAACAACAATTCCTCATCGTTTTATCAAGTTATTTCATTCAAAATCAAGAGGAAACATCAGGCAGCTCATAAAGACTGAGGCCAGTGTGACCTGTTTGTGCATTAATGTGTTCTCTGTTATTGTAGGGTCTTTATCTTACAATATAAATGGAAATTAAAGACGCTCCCACAGTGCACCGATGCTGAAGTGGTGCAGGCCACACACAGAAAGAGATCAGCAGCAACCAGAGACCACAGGGTGTCAGTGAAATTCATCAGTGTGGTAACTGCCAGTATGAGTAAAGGACACCGCTGCCACACCACCGGCAAGATTACACTGAAACATTTGAGGTAATAAACACGAGGGTTATCTACGCAACCAGCCAGGAACAGCTGCAGAGCAATGACTTTAGATTCAACTGAGGATAAAATTATAATGCAGGTTTCTTCCGTTGATTTAACAAAAGATTAATTTGGTTTTTAAAAGAATATGTAAAGCAAATTTGATGGTAAACAGGTTGAAATAATCTTATCGCAGTAGCAGAATGAAGACACAAATTATCTATTAAAAATTCTCTTTAGTTTCAAAAACCATTTGTTGATACATTTTTAAAGATGTAATCATTGTTTATCCTGTACCAGAAATGATTTCATTAGACAAATCACAAAAGCCTGACATGGACTTTATAAACATCCTTCAGATAGCTTAAACTGTAAACTGTAAGTATCAGCACAAAGTTCGAGCGGCGATCTGGAAAGGTGATCAGTTTTATTGACACTTAAATGAGACCTGGGGGAGGGAGAAAGGAAAAGTGGGCATTTATTTTCATCAATAAATCCCTTATCAGCTGCCTCGACATTTTGCTCCACAGAGGGTGACAGGCATTTCCATACAAGGACACCGCGGTGGACATGGGGCTCTAAATATAGAAGGAAACCCTATCTGGGCCTGTTGCTCTGCAGAACATGTGAAAGTGCTACCTGTCGACTTACTGACGATCATGTTTTATTGGCCTGGAACATCAACATTTGTCACAGACCGCTCTTACCGTGTTGCCAGATGTCAGAGAGTCGCCCCCATCGTGCTGAGGGCCCTGATAGACTCTGAGCTGGGGATGTTCCTGGTACTCTGAGCTCGGATGTGCAGAGCTAAAGTCGAGAGTTGCCAGTCTGCTGGCGGATGTTGGGGGACCTTGACCTGGTGGGGGGTAAGAGGGAGGCGGGGCATAGACCTGAGGCAGGGCAGGGTCTGCGCTGCCTGGGGCAGCCTCCTGAGTGGGGGCCCCCTGAGGAAAAGAGGAAGAGCCAGAATATGAGCCACTCATGCCAGAATATGACAGCGTAGATGTAAACAAACGAAACACAAGATGTTGTTGTTGATCTTCTGTTTTTACAATAAAACAAACTGCATAAACACGCTGCAGTGACACTGTGATCTTTAATGAAGATGACAGATACACAAATACCACAATAAATGATTGTTCCACCCAATTTTACACATCAGTTTAACTGTCAGAAATGCTGTGAAATCTCTTAAATAATCTGATAATAATAACCATAGCAAAAGATGTTTTTAACAGTAATAGTAAGACAAAATACAAAGCTAAATAAGCTTACTGGTAGGTTGCAGTGTTTGGAAGAGGTCACTATAAATTACCTTATATATTTACCTATTCTTTTTTAAATAACTGCCTTTTGTGAGTTTGTTTTTTGTGTGTGGTAATAAAGAAATAGTAAATTATCCTTGAAAAATACATCTGATGACCAGTCCTAAACACTACATTTCTTTTTGCTTATCCAAAGCAACATCCAAGTATAGATATAATTAAAAACATCTCTAATATTAAGACATTTCTCACAATTGTAATAACTGATTCATTCTTAATGCCAAACGTGGAGCTCATTGTTAAATTTAACTCTTTCTGTTTTTCCCATTACAAATGACAGATTTGGCACTTGAAAACAATATTTATGTCCAAAATGTTGACTTTATGTAGTACAATGTCATGTAAAACTAGAAAGCGAAAATTTCTGAAGAAATTTTAAGTGTGCCTATGCCGCCGCTAATCAGTATAGTTTGCCATTCAAACGGCTACAGAGAGCAAAACTCAGCAGAGCAGCCATTCTCCACCATGAACTATGGTAAAACCAAACACCACTCGCGCCTCACAGATGACAGGTTACGGTTTTGTGTAAAGATGAGGTGACTTCGTACAGCCCCAATTTGTAGACGCTGTGCACAGAGGTTCATAAGCAGACCCGACAATGTTTGCATGAACACACTTTGAAGCATTACGTTATGGACCACTTTTCATACATAGTTGCTGTACCCACACAGCCGGCTGTAGCTTTTCATCTCATAGCCCGACACATACACAAAAAAAAAAAAAAAAAAAAAGCAGAGAGAGCACAGACTTTACACCTGAGAGGCGTGATTGCAGATGCCGCTGAGGTGGGTCCACCTCCCCTGCAGCGGCACTGCAGACCACGCCCTGCCACACACATCAAACACGTAAAATAAATATTTATGCACTTTTCATTCACTTTTTGTTTTTTGTTATTTTTACACAGTGTTCTGAATGATTAACAATGGTCTACAGCCAATCTTGTGTATTATTATACAAACTTTGGTTGTAAGATTCAGATAACTATTTAATAAAAGCTAAATATTTTATATGAGAGTAAGAAAGAAAAGTATATCTTTGTCTCATACTCTCATCAGACAATACATGAACCTCTCAATAAACAAAATATATGCTCAGCTTAAATGACAAACCGCTATTTTACACAGTGGAACACTTATTTTTAAACAAAACCAATGCAGTTCGCCACTGACAGTGCTTACCTTTGCACATCACAGTAAACACTGAACCAAGATGGCGCCCACGCGAACGAGAAATCTGAACTACGGTGTCCTGCAGAGGACAAATGGTCAAAATTGCTAAAATTTACAACATATATGCAGCTCAACAGCGACACCTTGTGACTTATTCCAGTCACTACCTTACATATACATAACGTCTTACCTGACATTCAGTTCACCGGACACTCATACTGAATCACCAGCCCATATAAATGAAAAATAAGTCCAGCAGCCAACCAAGAGTCATCACGAAAGACTAGGGGTGACACGACAGCGTGAGCGGGCCTGGGTGTCAGCCAGCCCAGCCTGGGTGTCAGCCAGCCCAGCCTGGGTGTCAGCCAAGCCGCGCTAGCCAGCTAGCCGCCATGCGGCGGTGAAACGAGAGCGTGAGCCGGCCTGGGTATCAGTCAGCCCGGCCTAGGTGTCAGCCAAGCCGCCCTAGCCAGCTAGCTGCCATGCAGCGCTAGCAGTAACATCGTGAGAGATATGGGACTTCTTGATAAAATATGGGACTTCTTGATAAAACGAGCAGATATTTGAAGTTTACACCCCTACATTCTCGCCTGAAAATAGGGGAGGCTGTCATAAAGTTCAACATCAGTAACTTAGCGCGCACAGCTGTATAGAAACTCCGTCGTGCTAGCTAGCACGCAGTACAGTTATTGTAACTGTCAGCACAACGAAAATAAACTACACCTAAACTCGGTTTATATCTGACCCAAATAGAGTGCAGTTAATAACGTCTTACCTGAAATTCAGTTCACCAGCCGCCTGCTTCTCCTGCATTGGGTTTCCCTTATCCACGATTGAGCTCCGCGTTAGCCACCACCGGTCGATCGGTGTTTCTTTCCCCGCATACGAGGGGAAGAGACATATACCGGTGGCTAACGCGGAGCTAGCTAGCCACCGGTATATGAACAACTCAGTTATTTTTTCCACATCGACCAGCATCATCGGCCCATATAAACGAAAAATAAGTCCAGCTAAGACAAAGACTGTTTGCGGAGCGATCGGGGGTGAAAGGAGTTAGAGACGCCTCACTGAAAGCCAAGCCTGGGTGCTTTTGAGCGAAGCGGCGCTAGCCGAGCTAGCTAGCCGGCCGAACTAGCTAGCCGGCTAGCAGCAACATCGTGAGAAATCTGTTGCTAATATGGGATGTTTTGACAAAACGAGCAGATATTTGACGTTTACACACCTACATTCTCACCTGAAAATATCTTAAAAGTTTACTTTGTGACCTAGAAACACAAATAAGAGGAATATATTAAACCAAGTGGCAGCCGCCATTGTTTGACTGGTAGAGGCGTGCTTTGAATTGTGGGATATGCAGTTTTCCACCAAGCGTACACCATTGCCGTTACCGTAACTATTCAATGCTTCGTGCAACCTTAAGAATTCCAATGGTTCCTGAAAGCACCAACGCTGTGCGCGCCGTTCGTATTGTTGTCATTATGGTAATCCAAATACGGGGACATACCACTAGAGTGAGCCAACACACCACAAATTAAGTGAGTGAGCAAACACACCACAAAGTAAGTAAAGTTTCACTTTCGTTCGTTCCCATTCATTTGAATGGGCAAAAACTTGCATTAAAATATTCATATTTAAAAAACTATAGAAGTAATAAACACCAAAAGTCATAGCAACTCATTCCAGCTCCAGCCGCACACAATGATATATCATATGTGAACCTTGTCTCAAAACTGTGGGGCGAGTTAAGGCCCAAAATTTCAGGCGGAAAAAGAATAATAATAATAATAAATCCGAGCAATAGTAATAAGTGTGCCTTCGCATAGGCACACTTAATTATTGGAATCTCATCAGATTCAACAGCCACAGGTATGTTTTAAGTCTCATAGACTTTAGAATCTCTAATATCCATTTTAATTAAACAACTGTTTACTTAAAAACTTTTTTTTTTTTAAAATGCGTAACAAACTACCTTTAATGAGAAAAACAAGATTAAACAGGAAAACAGGACCTCCTCCAAACCAAGTGTAAGCAGTGGTTTGGAGGAAACTCCTGCGCAGTTTCCATTCAAGTGAGGTAAAAAGCAGAGAAATAAAAGCGGTCTTACCCCCTTACTGCATTCCTCGATCTCTGATGCATTGTCTAACAACTGCCGCATTTTTAATGCCAGCTGACCACCCGCCCACCGCACCATAAGTTCTACCCATCCACCAATCATCAAATGATTGCTAGAGGAAAAGTGACCGGGGGTGGGGGGTGGCTGTGGGTGGGGGAGGTGTTCCACACCAGCTGTGGACATCTGTAACTTTCAGTCACCTTGTTGCTCCCACAAAGAGCCCAGAGGGCCCCTCTAACCTACTCATGAGCACAGAAAGCGTACGGAGCTTCCCCCCCAGGATTAAGTATTTATGAATGTGTGTGCTCCTGCTGAGGGTGCATCGTGCTAAATGTCGCCTCCGAGAATATCGGCCCTGACAGACACGGTTTTATTACCTCAGAGACATTTTCATGAACATCTACTTCTCTTTGTGTTGTGTGGAGTGGCTCAGTTGCCTTTTAAGAAACAGAGGACTTCACAAGCACAATAATGACATCAATGTTTGGGTTGGGTGCAAGTGAAGTGCTTCGCTGATCTTACTACAACATGACCACACAACAGAAAAAACAACAAAGTGAACACATTTACCCAGCTGTCAGACTACAGCATACTTATACTGCTTACACTTGAATTTCTGATGTTGAGCTTGCTTTATACTATAAACCTACCGCCGCCTCGTTTTGGACCCAGCCATGCTTCAGGAAGGCCGAGATGCATCAGTGATTCAATAGTGTTAAAGATCCCACCACATCAACATGACAGTCTGCACTCCCTGACAACGTCTGGCAGGAGATATGAGTCCACGTGTCACACACCAGGAGACTAAGAAACACAGTCTGTGCAGCCTCACCTCTTCACACTGACTGTCTACATATATGTTGTATATATGCCGCCTTCTGTACTGTTATATGTGTATTTAAACTTTCTGATTTATTGCTTTATATCTTGTGTTAGGACTTCCAGCTGAAGCATTTAACACAACAGTTCTTGTATAAACAGATGAGATATCTGTGACGGGCCTTCTCAGACTTTCAGGAGACAGGGAGTTCTTACAGGAGGGAAAACTTTCCAAGGACTTCATCGCAACAGTAACACTGAGTGGCAGATTCTTACTATTGGAGCTGTTCGTACTCTAAACTTTTCCATCTTAATACTTCAGACACATGTGACATGATATGTTTCAACCACATGAAGGTTTGTGCTGATCATGAAGATAATGTATAGAGCCCGTATGTTCATTCTGATGGTGGACAGTCCTCATTTAAAGATGTACAATAATGCTGCAGCACAATGTTCAGATGAAATTATTTTGTCTTGGCTTCCGGATACGACTTCACAAATCTAAGAACATTTATTCTGGAAGACAATCCTGGAAAATCCTCACATTTGTGAGGATTCCCCCACAGTAACTGGGAATATTTCTATTAGAGCACTGATACTTTCACTTAATCACTGGATCAGAGGATAACCTGAGTTACCTTACAAGCAAAATGCCACAAGTGTGTCAGCTGCCTTCAGGATTTAAAGGAGTCACGATTAAAAAAAACTCTATCCCACGCCAGCTCATAATGGCTGGCATAGCTCTGCTGGCTGTTAAACTGGTTGTATAAGCAAGGAAATGGTTGTCAGGCAGACTCTTGTTGGCTTGGAGGATTTCATTTGACCACTCTCTGTTGGTTTGGAGGAGGATTTTTAATAAAGTGTGCACTCTCAACAAACCAGATTTGACATTCAAGCAGGCTTCACCCTGATAATTACTGAATGAGGAAAAGTTGATGGAGATGATTCATCTGCAGCTCTTACTCATTATTCAAGAGAAATATTTAAGTTTGAACCAGAGCTGAAAGATAGGTATTGAGGCGCCGTCCAACTCTGAGGCCGTTCTTAACTCTCGCACTGGAGCTGGAACATGTTTCCAAATATGTTGACACAACTTGCACCTGCACTCTGTCCTACTTATCAGAAGAAACGACGATCTAGCTGCTCCGACCCTCCTCCGAGATATAAAAGCGATGTTGAGCGAAGAAAATGCATCTGTTAGATATCACTGTCAACTCTCCCCCCACCTTACAGACTAACTAACTAACCAGCCACTGTGCCTGATTCAGCACCACAGTCTCAACACGAGACTCCTCACGGGCTTGTTTTTTATTATCATTGCCATTTGTTCCCCCTCTCTCGCTCGTCTCCTTCCGCAGCTGCTGGCTTGCGGTCAGAGGTCGACGGCTCGGAGCCAGGTGCTTGCTGGGACAGTTGCCACGGGATTTACACAAGACGAAGCTGACTGCAGATGTGGCCTTTTGGTGCTGGCCGAGTTACAAATGTTAGCAACATGTAGCTTATTAAAGTGTAACACAATATTCCTTTTTTTCATCCATCCATCTGCACATTCTGCACATCCCGGTTCCTCCTATTGAGCGACACGACAGGCTTTTTGTTTATATTGCTGATAAAAAAAAAAAAGAAGAAAAGATTGCTGATAATGAGGAGAGAGGAGTTTTACAAGCTGCCAAATGTTGTGTTAAAACAGATGCTCCACATCAGTCATAAAGGAATTTCCCCAGCACTTGGAAATATGACACTTTTAAAAAGGGAACAATTGCTGGATTGAAGTGAAGGATTCGAGCATTTCGGTACGCTGTATACTGTGTATATTGTTGCACTGACAATAAAGTTCTTGAACCTTGGAAGATCTAGCTGGGGCTTCAGACTATTTACTTCAGTGCCAGTCACCTTCAAATAACAATTCTCTCTGCATCTGTTTTCCATAAACAGCTCTCTGAATCTTATGAAATAAGTCAAGGTTACCCCGGAGGAGCCTAATATTCAACATTTAAATGCACAACAGGCTGGTTTCACACATTTATCTTAAGCACAGCTCACTACAGGACACAAGACAGGTGACAGACCCTCTTCCTGTGATTATCTGCTCAGGAGAGGAGGGCTAAAAATACAGCTGGTGTGAAGCACAGAGACAAGGTAGAGAGATACTAAATGAGCTGTGGCATTAGTGGCATGTCAGGGACACTTGCTGGTGGACTAAAGATAACCACTAATATGTCCTTACTAGTGAATAAATAAGACATTTCACAACTAGCACACTTCACACAGATCCTGTTGCATATTAAGCAATGCATCGATAGACTGAATTAGATTAAACTGTGACTTAGGGCCTTTTGGCTTCTTCTGCTCACTGGAAAATGTTTTAAGTTTTACAAAATACAGGGATTTTGTCTGGTAATAGGAATAAGATCTTTTTAGTTTAATCATTAAGCGAAATCATACAAAGGTGCTGATTTAAATGTCCAATTATTTGATTATATTTCTTAATGTGAGTATTTGGGTGAATAAAAGAATAAATAACAACCAGAGCTCTAGAAATGCAAAATAACTGACATTGAGATTAAGAATTGTAATAATAAATAATATTATTTTGTTGCATAAAGTTATAGTTCCCCAGTAGATGATTTCAGGGATGTTCCCTAGGGGGGAAAATCTCAGTATTTATGTGATAATGTCTGGCCACAGTGTAAATCAAGAAGTTTACCTGAACTATGCTGGGGTAGCATGTGGTTGCCTGTGGGTAGACGGGGAGTCCATAAGGCTGGAGGATCACAGTGGGTGAGGAGAGCATAGCCCAAAAACGACACACGAGGAGATGAGGAACGGAGGAAAATGGGAGGAAAAGGAGAGCAGGGGGAAAGGAAGGGTTGATGTACACACAGAAGAGCAGGCGATCAGGCTGGAATTTTTTTTTAAAAAGGGAGGAAAAATCCCAAATGAAGGAAACAGAAACTCCAAGAAAGTGAGGGAGGTGGGAAAAAAAGACCACGCTTAAGACTTTTGCTTCACCTCGAAAATGAAGTCAAGCAAGAAAACACAAGGGAAACCCCCAAAACACCCGGAAAAGATGGGATTTAGAGCAGTGAAAGAGAAAGCCAGTGAGCTTCTGTGTGTCCATCAGTTGATCATGCAGCCTGACAGACAGAAACACATGGTCAGGGTCCCATTTCAGAGTTATATAAATAGTCACCCATGTCCTTCTCTCTGAGTTTACCACCTTACCTCCCTCACTCTCACTTTGTAAGAGGAGATCTGTGACCACTCAGTCAAACCTCTGTGCAGAGTGAAAGAAGCAGGCCTTTCCCGCCTCTCTGTGCACATTGAAGCTGCGTGTTATACCATCTATGTAATAACATGAGGCCTGTTCGTGATTCAAGCGCATAAACAAACTTCATCTTAACTTCTTCCATGTGTTCAGGTTGTGCTCTTCGCTTTGACCAACAGAGAGCGACAAACCCAGCGGGCCCGACTTCCGTTTGGGCGGTGAGAGGCATCATGGGATATGTAGTGTGCTCGCAGGCCCTATAAATGATTATGGACTTCCTTTAACTTCCTCTTTACTGCGCGAGCCTGAGCGAGACAGGTACGGTTACCATCCTCATCCTTACCAGCAATACAAACCGAGTGTATTTGGACTTCCACGTTGAAAAACAGTCATAGGACATGAAACTAAACTTATGCCTGTGCCGATTGAAGACCTGCATGTTTTTTTAAAGCGTTTTTAAACGAAAAGCGCTTAAGCTAATGCTAGCTGCTAACATTAAACAACGTGGTGCGGTGTAGCTGCGGCCTAGTCTTACGGATGCCCGGTCTGTTAAACGTTTATACGCGATTTATTGTAGTTTCAGAAACATTTAATGAAGTGCATCCGATGTATCAGTGTTTCTAGTCAATTCGGTCCTTACACATTACCCTTGTCTTCATAAACCGTACGATCGCGTGGCAAATCTGACCGATACAGTTGAAGCATGGAAGTAATAGTGACGGTTGTAGGTCCCTTTAGCCTGGTAAAAAGTTAATGTCTTTTTTTTAATTATTCAGTAAACGCTTTGAAAAACGGAACTAGACTGACAGATGGAGAGCCTATTTGGCTTAATTAAACTGACTCTACTTTTTGAGGTTGACTTGATTGTCTTAGTTGTAAATTGTAACATGAGTTATTGCTGAACGTGCATAATGTTTGCCTTTAAAATGTCTTCTGTGCACAAGATTCAAATAACATGTCAACCTTGAATAACCTGTTAAAAGTGTAAAATGGTATAAATCTTATATGTAGCGTCCCCCTCATTGTAATTTCTTGGTTTTGCAGGCACTTATAAGCCATCATGCCCGTTGCCAGAAGCTGGGTTTGTCGTAAGACATATGTCACCCCCCGCCGCCCCTTCGAGAAGTCCCGTCTCGACCAGGAGTTGAAACTCATTGGTATGTTTTCATTTTCATAACTTCCGTCCATATATATATTTCAAGGCATACCCTTTAATGAGGTATACTAAACTGATTACGGCGTTTCATCTCCCTTTAAGGCGAGTATGGGCTGAGGAACAAGCGTGAGGTGTGGAGGGTCAAGTTCACCCTTGCCAAGATCCGCAAGGCTGCCAGAGAGCTGCTCACTCTGGATGAGAAGGACCCAAAGCGTCTGTTTGAAGGTGGGTAGGATGAGTTGAAGCTGGTTTGTGTTGGCCGATGATTTAAATATATAAAGTGTCAGACTTCACCATGGTGTCACGAATTCCTCGTCAATGAGGCCAATATTCCTGCTCTGCAAAGATTTTTGAGCACGTCTCTGTGGTTGTATGTTTAAATGACGTTTTGTGTATACGTGTGGTTTTCCAGGTAACGCTTTGCTCAGGCGTCTGGTGAGAATCGGTGTGCTCGATGAGGGTAAGATGAAGCTCGATTATATCCTGGGCCTGAAGGTCGAGGATTTCTTGGAGAGGAGGCTTCAGACACAGGTCTTCAAGCTTGGACTTGCCAAGAGCATCCACCACGCTCGTGTCCTTATCCGCCAGAGGCACATTCGGTAAGCTCAAAGCAACACATAACGGGCTCAGTGGGGTTTTTTTTGTTTTGTTTTGGTTTTTTTGATGGACTCATGAGAACCTGTCGATGCTTCCTCTTCCATCAGAGGACCACCAACCTGTAACACACCCTGTTGACAACAGTTAAGATTTTCATCAAGGTCAATTCGGTATCAAAACCGTATACCTTGTCAGTAGACATTGCCCAGAGCCAATCCTGCCGCCGAGGGCGCAGACAGTGCCACGGTGTTGTGGCCGTCAGGTAAGGTATGGGGGATTGCACCTCGGGCAATTGTAGTATTCACTACAGCATTGGATATGAAGTACTCAGGCTGATGATTTAAGTCATAAGTTCAGATTTCCTGTGGTGTCAAGAATTCCTCGTCAATGAAGCCTGCAGTAAATTATACATGTAAAATATTAAAGATTCACACTTTTTCCACCCTGAAAGCTTTTTCAGCTTTTAAACTGCAAAGACAACTCTTAAGTGCAGCTGGAAGATGCGTCAACATTTTCTAAAGTCCTCCCTTTATTGTCTGTCTTGGCAGTGTGCGCAAGCAGGTGGTGAATATCCCCTCTTTTGTGGTTCGCCTGGACAGCCAGAAGCACATCGACTTTTCCCTTAGGTCTCCGTACGGCGGTGGACGCCCAGGCCGCGTCAAGAGAAAGAACGCCAAGAAGGGCCAGGGTGGAGCTGGAGGAGCTGACGATGAGGAGGAGGATTAAGAAGGATGTTGTACAGGCGTGTTTCTTGATACTTCCTGTTGTGACAATTCTCAATAAAATGTTTGGTTTATCCAAAAAAAAAGTAGCTGACTCTATGCAGTTTTTTTTTTTTTTTTTTTGTTTTTTTGTTTTTTTAAACGTATGTTTATTTGTTTTTTCAACAGTATCAACACCAACATAAAATGAAAGTATGGCAGTCATTAAAATAATAACAACACTAATAATAATAGTAATAACGATAATTGAAGTGTTAATCCTAAAAGGTTCCAAATAAATGCATAGTTAAATAAATTAAACCATACAAATAAATACAATTTAAAAAAAAAAAAAAAAAAAAAAAAAATCATAATATAGGTTACATAGTATATTCCCAACAGCAAGTCAGACATTATCCATTATCTAGTTGTTACAGCGTTTGGCCTGTAACAAACAAAGATCGACCATTTTTCTTTCAAATCAAATCAAATTCAAATTTTATTTGTCACGTACACAGTCATACACAGTACGATATGTAGTGAAATGCTTGGACAACTGCTCGTGACCTAAAGAAAACAAAAAAAGGAAAGGCTATGAATAAGATAGGAAATAAATATGCAAAATTAAAAAGGGTAAATTTAACTAGGAAGGAATAAAATATAAATTAAGGTTAAAAATGAAATAACTGTACAACACAAATTAGAATGAAGGGTAAATTTAACTGGGAAGAATAAGATAAAATATATAAAAGATGAAAATAAAATAACTGTACAACAAAATACACAATATAGAACTATATAAGAATGTATGAAGAAATATAAATAAATATATACACAATAACAGCAGCTGTACAAGTATTAACTGGAAATGAAGAATATAGTGACCAGTGTTGTGCAAAAACAAAGTCCAGAATGTCCAGTGTGTGTGTAAGAACCATATGTGTGGGTCAGGACTGTGTGGTGGTGTGAAGAAGCTCCTCCTCAGTCTCTCTGTGTTGGTCTTCAGGGAGCGGAATCGTTTTCCTGACCTCAACAGAGAGAACAGTCTGTTGTTGGGATGGCTGAGGTCCTTCACGATCTTCCTGGCCTTGGTCCAGCACCGCCTGCTGTAGATTGAGTGCAGGTCAGGGAGCTCGGAGCGGATGGTGCGCTCAGCTGACCGCACAACCCTCTGTAGAGCTCGTCTGTCCTGCATGGTGCTGTTCCCGAACCAGGTTAAGATGTTTCCCGCCAGGATGCTCTCTATGGTGCACGAGTAAAAGTTCCTGAGCACCTTGGAGGGCAGTTGGAAGTCTCTCAAGCGTCTGAGGTGGTAGAGACGCTGTCGGGCCTTTTTCACCACGGTGTTGATGTGACAGGACCATGACAGGTCCTGCGTGATGTGAACTCCGAGGTATTTGAAGCTGTCCACTCTCTCCACTGGGCACTCGTTGATGACGGGGGTCTGGTAGTTCCTCTCCTGCTTAGTGCTGAAATCCACTATCAGCTCCTTTGTCTTACTGACGTTTACTGTACAAGACAGAGTACAGTCATCTGGATACAAGCCTAAAATGCATAACTTAGGGCAAAGCGGTACAGGAGAAGTTGTGATCTGAGAGATATATTTTAACACAGAGCTCCAAAATTTTTGGATCTCTTCACATTTCCACAGGCAGTGATATAGTGTACCCTGTACCCTGCCAAAGCAAAGAGGACACAGGCAAAAAAATATCTTCAAAAAGGGTTTTCTTTATTTTAACCCTCAAAAAGTCCAAAATTAACAAAATTCAAAACCATACTTAGCAGGCCCATAAAACAGGTCAACTAAATATAACTCTACAAAAAGTAATTTCCAAAAACTTAAAAAACAAAGTGAGACACAACTTAACTCACAAACTGACCTAATGAGGGTAGCTTTTATAATGATTTGGCCAAACCATTTGAACACAATAGGGGGGAAAACAAAAACACACACTAAGCACAGAATAACCTAACTAAACCCTAAACACCCCTGCTCCTGGTAAGCCCATGGTTGGTCCTGCTGAGCAGGCATTTTGTCCCCAGAGTCCTCAGCCACGCCTTTTGCCCAGACAGGAAACAGCCACCGCCCAAACCCAGGTAACTCAAAGAAAGAGAAACATAATTAATATAACAAAACATTTTAGAAAAACCACACAATGTTACTATGTGTGGCTGCTGGATTTTTCAATCAAGATGGTGTATGAGATTCAATAGTATGTACTGACTCTAGATTTCTTTTCGTTTGAGTTAATTTTACTAAGTCTCTTTAACTGTGTGAAACAAAACTTGACACCTGAACTGACATGCTTATTTATACTGAGGTTTTTAAAACTATACAGCTTTATAGACATAGAGCTCAGGTATGTAGCTGTGAGTGTGCTAGATGCCAGATTAAGCTGACAACTATTACGTCAC